CAGGTAGGGGCTGGTTCGCTCTGCTCTGCCCGGGGGGTGCAGCCGCGCGGGGACTCCGGCGGGAGCGGAGGGATGGGATGAGCCGCTGCCCACGGAGGAGTTCGGGGGATCGGGAGCCGCTGAAGCACGAGGAAGTTGGCACAAGTTTCAGAGTAAAACGGACTTTTAACCGGCGGCCGAGGCGCTGCGGGGAGTGTGGGAGGTAAACACGGGGCTGGAGCGATTAATCGGACGCAGATTTCAAAGTGAGATGTGTGTCGGTTTCACCTGCAGCAGGAAGAGGAATCATTTCAGCACGTCTGTTTTCAAAGCTGTAAGAAAATAGCCTGTGACTCACGGAGATGTATGAGCCGTATGCAAATTAGAAAAAATTAATTGCTTAATGGTTTAATGCCCTACGAAAATGGTTTTTGCAGTTAAGTTCTGTGATATTTTCTAATCTTCGAAAGAACTGGTGGAATAGAGGGAACTGGAAACTGAGAAATGTCCCTAAGGGAAGGAGAACAATGTTAAATACAGGGTTTGAGAGGAAAGAAAGCAGAAGCTGGCCATTACTGAAGTATTTTTAGCGTGACTCGATTGTTCTGGTGGAGTTGGCACTTCAAGGCTCTTTGATTGTGAATTTTTTTTTCTGAAGAGTTAATAGAAGTTCTGTTTCAGGTTAAGGTAGCATTGCAACATTTTCTTCCCCTGAAATATAAGAATGAAATACTTTAAAATAATTTTCCTAAAATAACTCATTCTTTAGCACTTTGTACTAATTTATAAACCATTCTCAAATCTCTCTCCCTCTCCCCAGAAGCCTTCATGCAAATCAGAACAATGCCTTGTAAAGCTAATTTTGATGAAACGCCGTTTCTTGGTATCTACTCTTTCCATCCTGTTGAAATATTGGTGGAGAGGGCGTGTACTTGCAGAGCTGCTGTGACACTTGTGTTCCTTAGCCAGACGCACCTAATAAAAGCCCAGCAGGGTGCATCCTACAGCCCAGGCAAGAACTCTGTGGAAGGTTCAATGGACAGGGGGAAGAAGACAGTGAGTTTGCTCATTGTCTGCAATTTGTAGTCTTAAGTAGTCTAAATGGTGTCAGGGTTCAGTGTGTGTCTAAGCTGGCTATCTTAAGATAATAAGCTGAGACACAAGATGGAAAGCTTGATTCTATCAAGACAGTTACAGGTGCATCAAGAAATACAACACACGTTCCATGCTGTGATAAAATTGTAGCTGGGATGCATCTTCCACACTTTTGCGAATGATTAAAGCAGGATTAGTTTCACGTGGCCAGAAGGGATTTGTATGTGAGGGTTATAGGTGTTCCACAACCTGTTTGTGAACTGATTCCAAAGCCCTGAACCAAAAAGGCAGCATCACACCTCCACTGCATTTTTACACTAGCTGACATTCATCTTGTCTGAAGTTTTATTATTGTTGTAAAGTAAGGAAGAGGAAGAAGTAGTTCTGTTTTCCTGTATTGACTTGGTGTATTAAAAGCTACCTTTTCTCTCTTCCTTATTGCTAATTCACCCTAGTCGTGCAAGGAATGTAGGAGCACGTTTCTCGAACCACATGCAGTGGAAGTGCATTCATGCTTCCATTTGAGCATGCTGAAATACATCCTCAGGCACAAACCAGGGTATTTGGCTACATGGTATTACCACGGTATCAGAACTTTAAAACTTTTAGGTGGGTATTTGGCTACATGGTCTTACTACGGTATCAGAACTTTAAAACTTTTAGGCAGAGCTTTCCATGAGTAGGTATTAAAGGGATAAATTTAACAGAGATGTGCAAACAGAGGAAGACATCAGCAGAACATGGTGGCAGCCTTTTCCTCCTTCTTTGACACAGTTCAGTACCCTCTCATGCTGCATGACTTGTTGACACTGCAGTTGGCTTCCTAATGCAGCCTCTGTCTGCATGGAAGGCACATAGGTGTTCAGAGTTTGTACTGGATGTTACATGACTTAAATGGTTATATTAAAAATATACCTTTCTCCATATGCTAAGATGCAATGCCAAGAAATAATTCCTGCCAAACGTAGTTGGAATTGGAGTAATTATAGTTTGCACTTTTTTAAGGGCAGCTTTCTTAAAATTTCTGCTTTGTAGCAGCAAAAATTACAAATGCACTGCTGTTGAGTCAGTATCTGAGAGTAGTTCTTTTGATTTCTTAAGTGTAGACCTGAAAAACTAGATATTATGTGGTTTTGCTAAGCTCATCTGTTCTCTATGGGTATATTTGAGCCTACCAGACCTAACTTCTTGTTGTGTTAGCAAATCTTATGTCAGATCCGAATTCTTAACATAATCCAGTTGTTAAGTTTATTGCAACAATAAGAAATGTAGTGTTCTTACATGCCTCTCTACCTAACATGTTGTGGTATGTGCATTGTTTGCTGTTAAGTCACTCAATTAACTTCAGTATCAGTCAGATAGGAATGCTGGAACTTAATGGAATTCTGGTACTAATTTTTATGTGGTGTTTCTTATAAGGCATTCCCTCAGAGTACCTTGTGTGTTCTGTTTCCATACAGTCAGGAAAAATGAATTCCAAAGCTTGGTTATTTGTTGTGAGAGAAGCTAACTGTGGTGTATACATATAATTTGGTACTTTGTATAATTTTCTAAAGTGTGAATACATGAGTGAATGAGCATGTGAATACATGCTGCCATGGCAGGCTCTAGTGTGCCTTGATTTCAGCCTGAACTTCAGAAGAAGAAAAATTAGGCTGCAAATATATACCTAAATAGATGCACTCATAATGAGGGACAGTAGGCAGCGTGGGTAACAGGAAGTTAGCAGCTCAAAAGATACAGCACTAAACTTGCATACTCTTTTTTGGTTCAACTTATTTTGTGGTTCAACTTCCTTAGACTATGAACCTATGATTTCTGGTCTTTGAATACTTTCTAGCTACTATAAATGACTATGTTACAGCATCTCTTTATATTTGCTATGTTTTTTTAATATGACCACAAACCTTAATAATGTCTCTCTGCTCATAGCTGTCTCAGCTGTGTATCACAAAGTCCTTTTCAAAGGCATCATTGCCATCACCACTGTGGTGATGGGCAAACCATGGCATGAACCAGAAGTGTACCACATGCTTTCACTTGCCTAAAGTCATGCAGCCAGCAACTTCCAGATTGCAAACAGACTTTTCCAAGAGCACAGTTGCATGTTCATTTCCAATGGCTTCATGAATTTGCAGCAGTTCTTTCCCCCTCAACCCCCCAAAAAAGGCTTAAAATCACTATCTCCAACCATAACCCCCAATTAAAAGCAAGTGGGGGAAAAGGTTTCAACGTTGCAGGCAGTTCTGCCTTGTGATCAAACATAGAGGAAAATACAAAATTTCCATTATCTGCATAAAAGAAACTGAAAAAAATGACAATTTGTAGAGCTCAGACCACTTTTTAGTTCATGTTCACAATGCTATGTTAACTGAAAATTTTGATATTTAGAAAATTTGAATGTTTCCTTTTAGGTTTTTTTGGAGTTCAGGAGTCAAATGTGCTGCTTCATTGTAGCACATTACTTTATGCACACTGCAATGAGGGAAATTTGTGACCCACTCTATTAGCTTATTTAATGGAAATGCCTCAACATTTGAAGTTCAACTTCAGGAATCACTTAAAAGCAACTTTTAGACATCTTTAGATGTCAGATAATATTTTGTAGATGATTTAAAAGTCCCTGATCGTTAGAAAAGAAATAACACATTTGCTGACTATGTGGTTTTTTTCCTTATGTTTTAATGTGTTTTTTTAAGTGATTGCTGCATTAGAGGACTAATTTTAGTTTTGGATAACATCTTGTATAGTCTAAGTACCCTAAAGCATGTTACAATATGACAGATAATCAAATATTTCTTTTAGAAAGCAAATATCACTAGTTTTATGTGCTCAGCAGACAAGAGAATTGGAAAACTGATGGAAAATAGTGGCTGAAAGTGACAGTATTTTCCCTTTTGGCTGCAGGGAATCATCTGAGATTTTTGGTAAACTGTAAAAGGACTTTACATACTGCATAAATAAGTTTGTTTTGTGACAGCCACAGTAAATGACTGAAGGGCAAAAGAAGTTTGAAAATTCTGTTAGCATCTTTATCCTAATCTGTTAATATACACATGTTGACTAAGTTCATTTTCCAGACATAAGCAAAGCCAGATGTGCAATGCTACAGATTTATGATCTCAAAATGAATTACTACAGAGTAAATACTTTAGAAAGAATTAAAATAAAGCATCCTGAGGCAATAATATAAATAACAGGAGTATATATTTTTCAAGCTTAATCCAAGGGCAACTGGGTGAAATAGGCTATTAATACTAGTGGCTATACCATATGGCTAAATGTTTCCTTCATGTCTTGAGACACAAATGCCATAGGCATCTCTGCCAGAAGCACAGAGGCAGTGAAGAGTTGCTGAAGTTGTAGTTACACGGACAATTTAACCTAGCATATGTCTGAGCTGCTGCCAAGAGAGTAGGTCCCTTTCTTCCGCCCTCCCAACATCCTGCTCACCCTGCCACTCGTCTCCACCCTCCCACTGGCACTAGGGTTCAAATGACCAAGTGATGAAGCTAGATCTGATCCTGCTGATATCTAAACTGGCAAAAGAAAAGAGAAGTTAAGTTTCCCAGCTGGAAGTTCCATGATTCATTGTAGCTGGGTAAGCACCGAGGGCAGAGAAGAGGGGAATTTCCCCTTCCAATGGCAGCCCACAAGGACTCCATTCAGGTGACCTAGGGATCAAAGTTCTTCTCCAAAGTTGTAACAAAATTTAATAGGCTTCAGAAGAAAATAAACAAAATATATCCATGAGTAGCCTCTGTTAGATCCCTGCCAGTGCCACCCCACATCTATGGTGGATACAATGCTGCTGTAGCTTAAGCAAAACCACTTTCAGGCCAAGTACAGTAGTCTGTTAGTCTTCTTCAGAGGTGTCCAAAATTATGTCCATTATCCTATAACCCTATCACTGTGATTCTAAACAGGTGGAAAAATCACTGCAGCTAAGGAGAATTTAATACTAAAGGTTATTCAGTATAATAATTTATAATAATTTAATGCTAAAGGCATTAAATACAACATCTGCAATTTTTGCTATACGCATTATGTGAATTTGGGAAAGATACACAGAGGAAACTTGTTGCTACACTTCAGTGGCTAACGGGTAAATAAAAAATGGAAAGACAA